ATTTTTTTTGTGATAAAAATTAAAAAATATAAAATATGTTTGGTAGTCATTTATATTTAAAAATTATGAAAAATAAAATAAAAAATCTGTTTGGTATTATACTAAAAATTCACCACTCAAACTCCACCACCCAACCCCACTGACCACCCAATCCCACCATCATCGAAACCCACCCCCACCATCACCGAAACCAAAACCAAAACCACCTCCAATCCAACCACCACCATCGAAACCTACAATCCAATCTATGTCTATATATATATATATATAGATATATACACACATACATACATATATACATGCATAGATCTATGTATATATGGTATAAAATTAAGGAAAAAGAGGGAAATGAGCGAGAGAGACGAAGTAGGTTTTGTCTTCGTCTTTGGCTTCGGTTTCAAAAGAGAGAAACCAGCGAGAGAGGAACGAATTCTTCATCTTTGGCTTCGGTTTCAGAAGAGAGAGAAACCAGCGAGAGAGAGATAGATGAGGGAAAGAGAAGAAAAGAAAGGAAAAATACTTTTGTACTTCCACCCCAAAGTCTTAAATTTTGGTGTTAACAAGATTCGAAGGTAAGACCTCCTTAAAAGGTGGGGCTGAGGTGCATGCGTGTTTTTTTTTTTGATGTTTTCAAAAACATCCTTTTTGATGTTTTTATATTTTGTCCTTGTTTTCAAAACGGGGCAGTACAAAAAAATGGAAACACATCCCAAATGTGTTTTTGTTTTTTTTTTATAGCAAAAAATGAAAAAAAAAAAAAACAAAAAAATCACAAATATCATGTTACCAAACGCTACTTTAGTTACTAATGGGGTGGGTATAGAAGGGGTGAGTTTTGTAGTTTAATAATGATAAATTAAATGGGGTGGAAATAGTCTCACCCAAACTTAAATTCAATTAAATTTGACAAATTTTTAAGTTGAACTCAAATGAAAATTGATTTTAATTTTTCAACAAATTTTTTTATATTTATAAGAATTAATGTGAAATTTTTGGATGTTTTCCTCACAAAAGTTACACGAACTCATGTTAGAAAAATGGTGCAAAGATAATGTTATGAACTTTAGGTAGAAACCAGCAGAAAAATAAAGTTATATTGTTTTAAAATTTGAGATAAAGTTTATTAAAAATATTAAAATTGTGGATGTTTGATCAATAATAATTATATTTTTTCAGATTTTTTAATTAATATGTTGCCGTAGTTGTAGCGTGACTTTCGTTATATAAATGTTTGATTATATATGTTCTGCATACAGATTGAACAATATCAATTTGATCATTGTATTGTCGAAATTATATTATACATTGCCTTTATTTATGAAAAAATATTTACAATTGTTAACTAGTAGCGTAGTGCTTTCAAGCACGGGTAATTATTAGTGTATATATAGAGGAGACACACACTAGAGTTTCTCCTTTGTGCCTCTGTTCGCCTCTCGCCTTTTTCTTCTCACCCACAGTCTCTTTCCCCGTCTTTCATCTTCCCATCTTCTCTCTAATTTCCTCGCCTGTCTTTCTCCTCTCCACTAGTCTCCATCTCCTCTCCACCAGTCCACCTTAGATCTGGAGAAGTCCACCATAGATTTAGAAAAGAAGGCCTCCACTCTTCGTCTTTGAGAAGTCCACCATAGATCTAGTTCTTTGTTAGTTCTTCCTTTTTCCATTCTATTGATTGGTATTAGTGGGTTCATTATGTACTGTAACAAAGATCATATGAATGATTGAGATGAAATTCTTTATTGAGTTTCTGCCAATTGAAACCTTAGAATATTTGGTTTGCTGCAGAGTAATTTTCTTGTCTTTTTGTTTTACGTTTTTTTATTGTTCAGTGGATTGATCAAATGTTTTTGTGTTAGGTTTCAATAGAAAATGGAGGAAAGGAAAGAAAACAAATCTTTGAATGTTATGTATTTGTGATGATTTCAAAGAAAATAGATAACTCATCTCAACCAAACCAAATTTGTGAATATGGCTTAGTTGAGCAGAATTTTTTTTTGTTCCATCTCAACCAATAATTATGATTTTTTTAGGTTCATTACCTTTTGGCAACCAAACGGAGTTGCAAAAACTGTACCTATTGGGATTAATATGTTTTACATAAATGGAATGTGTTGTTTTGTGACTAGGATGGTCGTGTTTACGTTAAATATATTGTGTTTTTTATGGTTAGGATGGCTGTGTTTATTTAGCCTTCTTGTTGGTTATGTTAATTGTTTTTGGTTGTGTTTATGTTAATTTTATTTTTATGTTGAATCGAATATGAAATTAGGGACAACACAATGCAATTTAGGTAGGTGTATTGCCCAGCCCGAATTACGAGCCCGAAGCCAACCCGAATTACAAGACCAAATCCAACCAGAATTATGAGCTCGAAATCTACCCGAATTCAACCTGACTTTTAAGAAAATAACTTGGGTAACACTCGGGTTGAATAGTTTGGGTTAGAAGTCAGGGTCGGGTTGGGTTAAGGTTAAAGTTTGATACCTCGGGTTTGGCTTGGGATGACCCCCTAACTCGCCTAAGTTACACCCCTATATTTCTAAAATGATGCGGAGATACCATTTTTGAGAGTTTAATTAAGAAATGATTATTTATCTTTAGTTAAGATTAGTAAATCTTGGTAAAAAACAGGGGCAATTTCAATTCACCTCAATTTCTAGTTTTTGCAAAGTCTCCTTTGTGCTTGGCTTTTTATGACTATGACATATTGGTGGGTGGGTGGATGGTGCCAAATTAATGTGATGGTAAATCTTTGGTCGTCGTGATGGTAATATCTACTCCACATGTGTGGATAGATTTGCAGCCATATCCGGGGAATCAGGGTGGACCTCTGCATTTGTGGTGAAAGATTTAAAGCCAGATTTGTTGGATAACTATGCAATTGTGAAGCTAGATTTGTGCTGGTGATGGGTGTTGCCACATTAATGGTGATGGTGGTGGAGTGGGATGTTGTGAGATGCCATAGTGCTGTTAGTGTGGAGGTTTGAGGTGGTGAGGAGTTGAATAAGGGGTATTTTGGCATTTAAAGCATTATTTTTGTTAACTTAATATTTTTCTTTTCTGGTGATCGGAGGAGTTTGTTCACTTCTAAAAAATAGGGTGTCATTTCATTTTTCAAATGAATTAAATCTTAGGGACACGTTATGTAGTTTTATTCTGCCTGGGGGCATTCCAACCCCCATAGCCTCCCACCTCCACCACTATGGCCATCTCCTCCATGTAAACCATTGAAACCCACGACGACGGCTATTGAGCTCCATTACTTGACTATCTATCCTTAGCACCACCCATTGGTAATCAGTTCCTCCGTTTTTTCAGAAAATAACCAATTCTTCTTCTGGTTTTATATCAGGACCAATCTCTAGTGTCTAATAATTTTTCCTCTTTAGTATTTTGATAAGTAACAAAATTTTATCAGTAATAAGAAATAGGTAGTACAAAAGAAGATTAGGGGTAGACAAGTAGTCCAATCATTAAACTTTAGTTTTGCTATTTTCCTTCTCTGATTTATCCACATTCAATTATGGCTTTATCAATCACAATCAAGGATTCCATTTTCTATTATTTCACAAAATATGTTCTCAACTATTTATTAGCGCTTAGCCATCTCCATGCCTAAGCCTTCATTGATGACTCCAGTTCATCACAGTTTGCTCTCTATTTAACCTTAATTGTTTTGCCATGTTCTCTTGCTCAAAAGACCAAACCCATTCTTGATTTCCCTCTAATCTTCTATTTAGAATAGTTTTTGCATACTCAATATTCTTTCTTAAATTTCTCTTTCTTCCTTTTCTCCTTCAACGAATGCACTGACCCGATCTAACTCCATTCAAGTAGCACCCACCATTGCCAAATGCATCATCTTCTCTTTGACCACAGATTTTGACTCACTTCAAACAGTTCGTCATCTTCACCATCCTTTGGTCCTCTTTTAGGTGCAGGTATTTTGGTTCAATGTATGTGTGTGTGTGTGTGAGAGAGAGAGAGAGAGAGGGAGAGAGAGAGAGACCGGTTAGTTCTTGAGATAAAGCAGATGGTGATGTCTGGTTGGTTTTTGTGGAAACTTTAGTGTACAAATATGGGTTAGAAAAAAAGACCGAGAGAAAAAGAGGTAGGATGGGTTGCTGAGTTGATTCAACCCAATATCATCTGCCTCACATGTCATGCATACCATGTATGCCTGTAATAAGGAGTGAAATGCAAGTCAACATGTCTATTTTTTGTGAGAAAATGAGATAGCCATCATTTACTGGACTAAATTGACTCAAGTGTAGAACTTCAGAAACCAAATTGTTGTGCTGCCCAAACCTGAAGGGGCAAAAGTGCAATTTGCCCTTTGTGCATGTTTTAAGATGTAAAATACTCATTTTCTGAAAAAAAAAAAAGATGTACAGTACTCAATTCTTTCTTCTTGTCACTTTTCTGTAATGTGATGCTGGCCTTTTTTTTTTTTTCCTTGTTTGTAATGTTTGTTGTTTTGGGGGAAGGGGGGAAAGGGTAGGGGAAAATTCCTTCATTTGGAACTTGCACTTTAGTAGTATTTGTTTTTCATTTTCTAATTATCAATTCAAACAATCTCCTCCTGGCTTAGCACCATGTGAAGGTTTATGTGGTCTTTCTGAATCGGCTTTTATTTAACATTGGAATGCAATTCTATGGACATTTTCAGTGGTATTAAAAGTACTTGTACTTGAGATTGTTTGCCCAGGTTTTCTTGTTTTGTAATTGACTTTGCAGTTGTCACTAGATAGTTGATCTCTCTTATGACGCAGATTGAACTCGGTGGCTCTATCTTCTGTTTCTTAGCTTTTGCCCTACATGTTGGTCTGTATTAGAAGCTATCCGAACTATATTTTTTCTTTTGTGTTCCAGGGTATATGGCTGTGCGAGCACCGTGACTCAGCTACTGCACGCAAAGTTGTGGTCACCCTTAATGGAATGTAAGGTGCTGTAATTGAGTGACATAAAATGCAGTTACATATATGTTCTTACAGACAAAAATGGTATGGTAATGGATGTTAATGTGGTTTAAACAGCACTCTTAGCAACTGTATTATCGGTGGTATTCATTTGCTTTCTTTTTACCCTGTCATAGTCGTCGGTTCTTCTGGTTGCATGGTTAATTTATCAGTGGTAGTTTATTTCTTTTGAGTTTTTTTTTTTTTGGGGGGGGGAGGTCATTTCTGTTATGAACTTCAATTTGCTAAATACCTAGTGAAATATCCAGTTGCATGCTCTTAATGAGAAACTCAAATTTTGATCAAGTGGAAAAAGTTCTATCATGTTGATGTTTCTGGAAGGGTTGACTGCAATGCATGCTGAAACGGCCATTGTGAAACGTGTTCAAACGCTTTAGCAATACATATTTCAGTTCTGATTGTGTGGAAAATAACCGGACGCGGAAGAATTTTGGAAAGGTCCTATCACAGGTTGGGGTTGTTAAGACGGTGATTCCTAATGTCGGTCACATGTTGAAAGTTAGAGTGTGTTTGAGATGAGTTATGAAATTTAAAAAATATTTTTTTAATAAATGTTTATCAAAAGTGTTTATAAGAAAAATACTTTTATTAAATAAGTATTGTTTGGATATTCAAAATTTAAAATATTTAAATTAATATATTTTATAAAAAACACATTTAGATGTAAAAACTTAAATTAATGTATTGTTTCCATCCACGGCCAATCCTCCAGAGCACTACCCAAACACTTCATTCCTCACCAATTTCAACCCCCAGTTCAATCTCTTTAGCGACAACTATGGTGGTCTCGCTTTGTCATTTACATCCCCTATTTTGCCATTTCTTGCAGCCACAGAGCCTTGGTTTAATACTGATTTTTTCAGTGAGTTATTTCAACAAACACTTTCACTTCACTTCACATTTCTTTCTATTATAAGGAAGTTTCTTTTTATCCAAACAGTTCATTGGACAAGGGTATTGAGCTGCCTTCAATCCAATCACCAATGCCAAAACCATCACCAACTTCGTCTGCAAACACTGGGAGTGGCTATATAATAGATGCAACATCAAGTGATGCTGATGAGTATGAAATTGCACCAGAATTTCCACTAGGAAATAGTGGTTTGTTGGAAGACCTAGTGGAGGAATCTCAAGCTTTGACTCAGGTTGAGAAATCAAGGAAAAAGAAATCTCCGACAGACAATGAAGTTAAAATGAAATGTGTATCGGAAGAGACGGTGGAAAATCTTTGGGAGAGTTCAATCTTTGCTCCTTCATCCATCGGTGAGTTTCTCATTGTCTAAGCTATCGGGGACTAGAGTTACGGCGACTCACAGAGAGCTATCGGGGTAGGGAAAAGAAAATGATAAGTGAAAATGAGAAGTGACTTTTAAAAATAAAAATTAAGTATTTTTACTTAAGTGCTCAAATTACTTATACTTCTCAAAAAGTGATTTTAATAAGTTAAGTCAAACACTACCTTTTTTCAAAAGATATTTTTTATAAGTTAAAAGTCTCAAAAATATTTTTTTTTAAGTCATGTCAAACACACTCCTAAACATACGACAAACCTATCCTTAGGTAAGCAGGTGGTTGGTGAATTTCAAGCTTGGGTGTGTATTTCAATAGCAGTAACATAAATATTATAATATCAACAACAGCGTAAAACAAAACAATAGAAACAAAGCTAGATGGTGACTTGTGACAAAAACCTAAAAAGATGAAAAGTGGAACAATACATATAAAAAGAGTTGATACGTTGCAAAGTAGCAAAATCTCACAACAATACATATACAATCAGAGAGATGGGTGAACAGAAAGTTAGAAAGAATCAAGAAAATGTTGGTTGGGATAAAACTTGAAAAGAATTAGCAGAAAGAATTGAGTAGTAGGGATAGGGATAGGGATAGGGGGAAATTGGCACTCAGCGCCTCATCATCATCCTGAACTCGTCAAAGTTGAGGACGCCGTCTCCATTGAGGTCGAACTTGCGAATCATGGTCTTGCAGTTGTCGATTGATGTAGACTCACCGAGTCTTCTCAGCATCCTCTTCAAACTCTTGGGGGTTATGCAACCTGTCCCCTCCATCTCGTACATCCCAAACGCCTCTCTCAGCTCGTCCTCGGCCCCACCCTCCATCAGCTTGGCGAAGTCCTCCAACCCCAACATCCCGTCTCCATCCGAATCCGATGACTGAACTGCCATCTCTGCCTCCTCCCAAGATAACTCCCCTCCCACCGTCCTCAGGCAGCTCTGTAGCTCCACCGGTGAGATCTTACCGTCGCCGTCCTCGTCAAAGTACCTGAACACCCTCTGCAGCTCGGACCCCACCCCCAAAGGAGAACTCTTTTCTGACTTTCTGCTGGGACTGGGAGATAACTTGTGACATAATTTTCTAAAGGTAGATTTCGGAGATGATGATGATGATGATGATGTTGTCTCAATCTTATCATGGGAGTTGGAGTCACCCAGCCCTTCCGTTGTTGAGGCTGAAGAAACTATCTTCTCAGGCTTCATCATCAATGGGGAACACGCTAGTGTTTGTTTGGCTTATATAATTAGAGCAAGTATGTGCTGATTGCTTGCTGAAACTAAACAACCACGACGAAGAAGAAGAAATCTTGATTGACAACTTTAATCGGAATGAGAAATCTTAGGAAGGTATAAACTTAGTATATAAGAGCAATAGCAAATGAAAGATTGTTCAAGTGGTTTTGTTAGGAAGAGAATTCCTCTTGTATGTGGTGTATATATACTTACTTTCTGATCATATGGGAGGAGAATTATAGAAGGGACCAGAGAGAGACAAATGGATAAGGTCGTAGTTAGGACAACATGAAATTGATTTGTAGGAAGCGTGGAAGCTATATGTGGATGATCATCACGTCACTAAAACTATGTGTTGAATGCGTATGTGTACACTGTGTATGAATATTATTATTATTATTATTATTATTATGTGCTGGGAAAGGGAAAGGGAAAGGGAAAGGGAAAGGAAAACACGGGGTAGTTGGTGTCGGTTGTTTGTTTTGAAAATGTGGCGATTTATTTCAAAGGACACTGCGCGTACGGGAAGCTTCTGGAGTTCTTGCCTACTTCTTATCCTCCACACAAGGAGAAAAAAATTTCTTCCGTCCGGTGGTTTCCAGAAATTTCCTTTGGAACTAGGGAAAAAACAAAACCAGAAACGACTTTTCACACTGTTTTAAAAGAGCACAGCAACAAACAATGGGTGAAAGTGAAACCATCCAATAATAATAAGACACACAATATGTGGGTGGGCAAATAAATAAATCTCCATAACATTTTGAATTTTAATTATTGTATGTCTTGTCATTAATTAAGATTACAATAATCTGAATAATACCCCAAGGCCAGAAAAAAAAAAATGCAAGTGTCAATAGACGTTGCTAGAGGAAGAAAAGAGAATTCCCCCGAAAATCTATAATAATAAAAGTTGATGGAATAAGGTTGGCAATAACTATTAGCCAACAGGGTTTTTGTTGATCAAAAAACAAATTGCAACAAACTTGGATATATTCAATGGCAATGGCAGTGAGTGCTGCACACAGACATTCAAACAATCATTCAATTGTAAATAAGCAATATATCCTGCCCTCCCTCCCTCCCTCCCTCCACATTCACCACAATAGAATAGGCATTATTATAAGCACTTGCGTGAGCCCCTATTAACTTTACTAAAATTCAACACACCTTTTCACTCAAGTAAAACAATATTTACCAGATATACAATTAAAGACGTCACATATCTAAATTGAGGAGCCACATCTCCAAACATTGCCACAATTAGTCAATAATACATTCATGAATCAGATAAAACCCAAGATGAGAAAGAGAAAAAGGTCATCTAGCAAAGAAAACCCACAACAAATGCATACGAGATATGGAATCTTCAAATACATTTGAGAAAAGGTTTTTGTCCGCTCTGATGACTGGTCATGCCATCAAAAGTTTCCTTTGCCTTCTCTTAACCTTCTTCCTCTCCTATAGTCGATTTCTGCATCAGAGTTTGATGAACCCATAGGATATTTCCTTCTAACTCTGGAAGCTCCCATCTTAGAGAAGATGTCATCATCATCATCTCTCAGAATTTGGTTACCAGGTATAGCTCGCCTCGAAACATCCCCAGGTTGTCTCTGTGATGCATGATCTGCATTATACAAGAAAGGAACGTTATTGCCCAGAAAACAAATGTTGGAAGAGGAGAGGAAGGAGACACCAGGAATCAGAAGAAAAAAGATTCTGGTAATTGCATAATCAATCTTCCACATTATTGAATTTTCAATCAAGGTGGTAACAAATGTGTAATAGGCCGGCCAACTTTCATTATACCAAAGTACCAGACACTGTTTGAGCACTAAGTCGATAGGAGATCTTGAGAACTACATTACCAGCATAAAATATGAAAAGCCATATAATGTATGTCCAATTGATGTGGAAAAACCATAGAAAATTACTAGACATTTGGAGTACTTATGATAGGCTGAGGTTGAAGTGCCTGTAATAAGATTCTAGAAGTTGCTTATTACTATGATTTATTGACAACAAAAAGCTTATTGATAGTTCACCTTCGAGACCATTGCATGAACTTGGCACTTCATCACATATCCCCTCACCAGTATAATCTAATTCTGATTTGCTTTCTGGACTCTGTAATTTCATAGGTGTTCCCTCTGATTCGGGTTCATCATTGGTTGAAGTTAATGTACTTGCCTCCACGTGCGGTACATTGGAGGTAAAAGGCATAATGGTAAAGGAGTCCAATACATCAGAAATTTCCACATACTGATGTGTAGTCACAATTTCATCTGCACTGAATCCAAAGGATGCTCTGTAAGCTTCTATTTCCTCAACTTCTTGTTTGCATGTTCTGCTCTGCCTGTTTTGATGCCCATTTCCACCATTACAGTAAACATCTGATTCCCTGGAAACACTTAGTCTTCCACCAGAGTGTGGAAACGAAGAGTGGTCCAGATAGAATTGTGCGAACGTAGCAGGACAGAAGAAATTTGAATCTTGAGACAACTTGGAGATACTGCCTGTATCCAGCCCAAATAGCTTGCCTGACTCAGACCTTGAGTATTTAGTCTCTTGAGTAATAAGTGAAGGATCCCATTGAGGGGGAAAGTCTCTTTCCCTGAAAGATGATGATAAACAGTCGCCTGAGGTCCTTGAAATAGGTGACATGAGACTACTGGCTGGACTTCCAGGATAAAGGGAATATGTTGATCGAAGATCATTTGCTGGAATGTAATCTGTCTTGTCAGTGCTTTTGAGATCCATGGAAGATGAAAGAAACTGAGCGAAAGGCACATCCGGGGAAGAGGGAGTAGTTAGGTGTGCTAACTCTGGTGGGGGTGTGAAAGGAGCAGTAGATGGTTCAGTTGTAAAGGTCGAGAAAACAGGAGGTGACACCAGTTGTGTCTCATGGGCATATGGCCCTGCCCTAAACAGAGTGGATGAATGACCTCCAGGTGAGTTGGCAGACAATGAGAAACGACAACTGGGTGACTGAGCTGTTGAAGGAAGTGCAGAATTCGAGAAGGATGCAGGTGAAGATGGTGGAGCTAAGAGAGATGGTGCCAGTGTTGTAGTCTGATTCGTCAACCCAAAAGCTTGAGGTCCATTTGGCTGATTTGCCAATGCATTAGCCTCTGGCATACGAGATGCGGGTACAACACGCCTTCCACCTTTTTGTTTGCCGAAACAAGACAATCCACCCCAACACCCTCCCCACCTCTTCCGCTATCAATGTAGTCAAAACATTAAGAATTTAGTCCTGGTTGCTCCCAAAAAACGAAATAGATAGACAGAATGATGCATTAGATGCAGTCAACCCAACACCCTCCCCACCTCTTCCACTATCAATGCAGTCAAAACATTTAAAATTAGTCCTGGTTGCTCCCCAAAAAACGAAATAGATAGACAGAATGAAACAATGACAGATACAAAACTAAAACTAAATAAAATAAAAACATTAATACCACTAGGCACTTGAACTTACAACTAACAGATAATTATTTCAAAAACCTCAATGGCTCTATTTATACAAGTAATAAATATAGTAAATCTCCAAAAGTTTTTTCTAAATGCTAAATGTGCAATGACTTCATTCATTTGCTGCAACTTTCAGCACAAAATCCATAATGCAGCTTGGGTTCAGAACTTCAGATTTCAGAATTTATTTGCACAAACATAGCAGTCAGTTCCCACCATCAACAAAGATGTAGCAGACAAACAAACAAATGTTCCACAAAATGCCAACAAAGAATCTGTTGCTATCTTTAACAAAAGGGATAAGCGACATATTTTGGGACCAAGAAAGCAATCCAATAAACTAGCGAAACTGTAGAGTAAGGGCTTGTTTGGACATCCCAAGGAAACAAATTCATTTCACTTCATTTCACTTTTCTCTCAGATTGCAATACAAGTAGTATATCATTGTCCAACAGAATAATACATCAATACAGAAAGTGGAGCTCTCATGAGTCATGAAACATTTAAAGCTATAAGAACTAACAGTCTTTCCATTGGTACCTTCCTCTTAAAGAATCCGTTCCAAAGGATTAATATCTATCTTAAAGGCGAAATTTAAAGCATCCAAAAATTAACTACGTCCACCCACATATAAAAATGTCATTGTCCAACTCTATGTGCAAATGGAAAAGCCACGAGACTACAAGAGAGACACACACAGATGCTGTCTGTCTTAGCTAAATTTGCAGTGAACTGATAATTTTTTAATCAATTCAATTTATCTTGAAATATTTAAGACTACATAGGATAGGATGGAACACCAGATACAAACAACAAACAAATTCATTCTCAATATATTACTTGGCAATGATGATATACAAGGAGGCAAGTAATTCAGTTAAAACTGCAAGATGGATTAGGAAACCCTATTTTATATGCGATAAGAGTTTTATATAATAAAATAGATGCAAGTCAACAATAAGACAAAACCAAATTCTACCCCAGGTCCTTCCAATAATGTTTGCCCAGGGATGGTTCTAGGGAACAAATCATGGAGGTCATCTTACATAACAAAAAGGAAAAATTGCATCATGATTCAAGATACTGGTTGAAAAAAAAGAGCAAAAAATAAAAAAATAAATTCCAGGGCCTCAATGCAGATAACACTACTTAACTATCATCATTGGTTCCTTGACTTTAACTGCCACTCACACATAGACATTAGGCTCATTTGAACCTATAACCATAAGACTGAAACTTGTCTCTGGATCTGCGTTGGTTGGGAAGCTTCACAAATCACATAGACACCACACCGCGAAACAAAAATATAAAGCAAGTATTTGCAGGCACCGGTATTGGTTGGATTCATACATATTAAGTCAGATTCAAACTTGAATACGAACGAATAAGTGCCTTCCAAAACCGAATGCCTATCTTATGGATCCTAAATTATTACTACCGAGTCAAATTCAAGTTGAGCCAGAGTCCAAATAAATCGAGGATCTCTATACGTTTTCCAATTTAATCTGAACAGAATATGTAATTTGACTAAATTGCCATATAATTCCCACACACAAATATCCATTATATGTTTGAATGAACTTCGATCTTATTCGAATCAAGTGCAGTTAAAACTTGAATTTGACTTGGTTAAATCTGCTATCGTCACTCAAATTGAAGACTTCATCATCAATGGATCATGATCAAATCCATTGATGACCCAAGTCCGAGCCAACCATGAGCAAAGATTGCTTGTGGTTGAGTCAATGCCAAAAATAACTTTGTCTGCTATGGATGGTAATCAACTAGTTATGTGATGATGGAGCGTTAACACTACTTATATCACTATGAAGCAACGGGCACTAAAATTCTAATTATGGGCAAGTGTGCATAGCACGATGAATATATAATTCTTCATCAATCATTGCCTGGTAATCTAAGGAGTAATTACATAGCATCCCCTTTTTACTCAGGGATGGCTTTATATCACCTCCCTTAACTATGACTAGTGGCACTAAACCTCTTTTGACTAATGACTGACGTGCAAAATCAACACTTTCCATTAGATTAAACTATGCATGCATTACATGCGTGACTAAGCTACTGGTTGCCTGAACAATAGATATCTACAAATAATTTTTGACACTTAAAAATGACAATTATACTATCATTAAACTTACTCAACAATTTTCTTCTTCCCCCACTCCACCTACCACTATCTCACACACCTAGGCATCCACCCACAACAACATGCCCAGTGCACACCATCACCATCACGCACACATTCACTCATGCCCTCCCCCACAACAGCCCAAAGCTTCATTCACTGCCACTGCCACTTCCACTTCCACTTCCACCACATGCACAAGCAAACACCCAAATAAAGACCACCACACACACTACCCTTCGAGTCGTCGTCAACCTGCAATGGCATCACCAATCTGGCCACCACCCAAAATCAGGGAACTAAGAACCACCAAAAATAAAGTCTCTCTCTCACCTATTTCTTTCGCTATTACTCACTAAATACCCGCACACACAGAACATAGCTCCACAAACAAAAACAGAGCTGTAAAGACAGAGCTCCAGAATTTAATAGGGTTTGATAAAATTTTGATGTAAATTATTTATTGAATTTGTGGTTTAGGTATAGAATTTTGAATTCGATTTGTGTACTAGATAAAGAATTGATTTTGATTTGGGATTGGAATTCTTGAGGTCACAATGGAAATTCTCTCTCTGTCAGTGTCTTTGAATATACAATTAGTGTGTGTGTGTTTGTATACATAACATATTTCTCCTTCATAAATCCCCCAATAACGTACCCATATCAGATCCAGTAATGAACACCTATTACCAAACAAAGGGGAAGGAGAGGATAGCCAAAAACGACCAAAATGCGCAATGAGTAAAACGAGATCTGACCCATTAGACAAAACCAGATGGGTAGGATTTGCCCTTGCATGAACCCAGCATTGAAATAAATAATAAAGAAACTGAACAACACAACCAAAGTATGTAAGTGCGTCAGTGATTGCTGGTAAAAAATAAATAAATAAAAATTTTCAAAAAAGTATGTAGTAAAAATCAGCAAAAACGATGGTCATCCAGACGGAAATCAATAGTTATTTCTATATATAAAAGGCAAAAAGATATATGAAGGAGAAATTGAATAGATCTGAAATAAGGGAGTACCCGGGGTGGTGGTGGTGGCGGTGGTTGTTGCTGCTCCGGTGGAAATCTGTTCTGCTCCGACCCCATTATTAGAATCAACCTTTCCTTTTCTCCCCACCTGTTATTTTACTGCTGTTCCACTTCCATCCACTCTTGTAAATGTGCTATGGACTTCTATTGCCCCCGTCTGCATTTCATTTTCTTTTATATTAGTACGTTCCCATTCCCATGTACATAACTCAAGGAGTGGTTGACCAGAAGCGGACAGATTACGGATGAGAGGGAGAGAGAGATCTATAATAGAAAGGATTTTAATCAAAGACAAACAAAGTCAAGCGATGAGAGAGATCAGATAACTGACAAGTGAAATGTCGGACAGTGTGAAATGTCGGTTGTCACTTGTGGAGAATTCGGTACCCAAAAAAACCACATTAATTTTTTTGATTTTTCTTTGTACAATTTTTAAGGTCATTAATAATTTTTATAATTTTTTAAGTTTAATGCTAAACATTTGTGATTAATTTTAAATTGTTATGATCAACCGCAAGCGCTCAAAATATTATAATTTGAACCTTAAAAATTATAAAATGATCTCAAAAGATTATATTTTTTTTAGAATCAACTATAATATTTTAGTATTTGATGATGAACAAAATATGTTTATGTACGACCACCTATCAAGTATTTAATGCAATAATTAGGAAGGAGGCTCAACACAAACACACACAAAAAATTATGTGATTTGGTCTGAGTGATCTACTTCATTGAAAATGGCTATAGTGTTTGAAGAATCTTATTACTTAAGAGGTATAGTGTGCTGAGAAGTATATTTTGGCCCCAATGTGTAGGTAAGACTTACAATTTATACGCAAGTGAAGTTGACTTTGATGGGCTATGATTGAAGCGCCATTATCGTAACTGATTCCATGTAATTTTTCTCATCCTTGTAACGAGCGAGGTGATCTCGCTAGACTAACTATGTACCCTCCGTTGACTGCTTTCCTACAGATTCTTTCTTCTTAGATGGAGATTTTCACGTGCGTTCATGATGTGTTGGGTCTCTCAAGAAGGTGAGTTTGGTCTAATTGAAATTTTGATCGAGCTTTTATTGATATGTATCTGTGATCTAAGCCTAATATGGGTCAGACCCAGCAATATTAATTCTAATTTCTATAATTTTAATTAGACCCCAAAAACTTACACTATAATTAACAAAAATTATAAACTTCAATTCCGTACTTCAAATTCGGGACTTGGGATAGTCGAGGATATGACTTCATCATCGAAATAGTATTATAATAAAAATAGGGCTTATTATACAAAAAGTTTTTGTGCTTGGGAGCTGTTGCAACATCCCTCCATTCTAAACTTTTGCATCAAATCACCTTCAACTAGAAAGCAAGATACAAGGTGAACGTTCAACAAATAATCTGTTAAAATATTAGAATACTCTTATTTTTTCTATTCAATTTTCACCACAATGCTCTTATTTTAATCTTTCTAATTTTTCTCATTTCTTGCATATATATATGCTGCAATAAATGAGAAAATTGAACAATGACTATGGTACCAATAGTGTTAGCAAATCAAAAGTTACGATTTATGAAGATAACTATAGTATCAACATTGATAACGTATCATAAATTATAACCTTTAAATATGAAGTTATCGTTCAAATGAGTATAAGTTATAATTCAAAAAAAATATGGTCAATCCTAAAATATAATTATTCATCATAACGTTTCAAGGTCTAGTCTCTATTGTTAAATGTCAACAAATTACAACTTATTAAAATAATTTATGATCGACCATGACAAATGATAAATTATCTTAATAAATTATAACTTTACTTTCAACAATTTTAAATTGACTTTTAAATTCTGAAAACGGTACTAAAAATGTATGAGAGAGAGCGCGAGAATGATTGGCGGGGTTGGGGGTTCGAGGAGGACGTATGGTTCATTTATTTTGGGAGAGTATGATCGCTGATGGGTCTGCTTAGTTTTCCGTCATCAACTTCAATAGACAGATATGCATGCTGCATGTCGCAATTAATTGAAATACGATGTTCCATGCATCATTAATACCCATATTCGAACCGACAACCGAGGAATTAAGCATCACACTACTCACGCCCTGCTCTTATCCGCTCCTTCTACTCTTCCTGTTGAGCTAAAATCGGATCAAAACATGCATGCACGCATGAGACTTATAATGTCTATACATCTATACATACGAAAGAGTTCATTGCTCTTGCTAACTATTAAGTGAACCGTCTCTTTCCTGGCCTAGTTTCATAGGCATGAAGAAATGCATCCAGAGAAATGGTAAGGGTGCTAAGCATACATGTGATTATGGAATCATTCCATTATTTTACCATGCTTTATGGATGGATAAAGAATGAGTCCCTGTCCTAATATCTATCATCGCTTTGTAATGCAACATTTGTCGCGCTTGGCGAATGAGAAATGCACTGGATATCAAAGTGTTGCTGTCTGAATGACTTATTACTTCACACTCCGAGTGAAAGGTGGATCAACGAAGCAGCATCCACCTCTCTCTCTTTCTCTCTCTCTCTCCAAAAGTTAAAAAACAGAATACAAATACATCCTCCTCCCACCAGAAGCTTAAATAAACAAACAAGAGAGGCCATGTTGAGTTGTGCTTTATATCGTACCAAGAAAAAATAAAGTAAATATGAGTTGCCGGCGGTTGCTTCTGTTTATCCAAACTCTACATCAAAGCAATGTGTCATGTTACAACTGGACCATGGCAGCCCATATCTCAGGTTGAAACCGTGTACAGATCTTTTTTCTGTGTTGCTTACACTGAACAGGGTTCCAATGCTGCTGCTTGGTGTTACAGACATTACGACTCTTCTCTTAGAATGGACACCCTTTTATATATAAATGAACTCTTTTAGAAGGTGATTGGTTGTTCGGTCAAATTTAGCTCTTGGTGTCCATTTTTAGCTGCCACTTCTCGTCACTACTAGTACAAAAAATCAGAGTTAGGCACTTAGAAAAGATACAAAAGCGCTGAGATAAAGGCAAAAACAAAATAGGCAAGGAACACATACCATAACTGCACCCCCCCAGCAGTTAGATAAGAGATATTGCTTGATGTGCTCCTGCACCAAAAAAGAAATAAAACAAAAGAAAAAAGAAAACGGATAATAATTAAGAAGCTGATCAACAATTAAAAAATTAGTCTCAACTATCTACGGATGGCACCACTATTTGATCCCTGAATGATCCACTCCACTTGCTTCAGCATAGGTGCCAATGTCCTCATTTTTTTTAAACAAGTATAAAGGATAACCCACATTTATCTGACCTAGTTTCTACATAGATACCGGCCTTTGTTTTAGCTGAAGGGTTGTCTGGATTTGGAGGTTACAAAAATTACAGGTAATGTCTGCTTTTTGCATTTAAGGCGCTTTGTCATGATTTGAATGCTTATTTAGGCTGGGATCCGTGGTCTCAATACTTTTTTAGTCTATTCATGTATAGACGATTAACAGTCTCCATACTTTTTTAAGTGTGCCCAGGCCTTGCATCAACAATTAAGTGATTACAAAAAAGATACGCAAGTCCATATAAAATTAGCCATTTCACATCCAATGGAAGAACAGAGATTGGGTAATCATGGAGGACAGTTCCACTACTGGCAAGCAGGAAACCAAGTATACAGAGTTGAGCTCTAGGGGACAGTTAACTAACAACAAAAGAAAAAATTACCGACAGACAAATAGGTACATTTAATTTACATATAATGTTAGAGAAAATGAATATATAAGGAAAGTCTGTACAATAGACTACTGTGCTAAAGCCAAAGAAAACGCAATTTACAGTTTTTAAGAGAAGAAACTCATCTGCAACTGAGATATCAACAAGACAAAGCACGGAAAATCATCATCTTTGAGATGTAGGTAAAAATTCCATGTGAAAACATCACCGTAACAACATCATCTTGCCTATGGAGAATAGCGACACATAGCCTGAAACAACATAAAAAGTGGCATTAAGAACCACAACTCATGTAGGAGATCCCAATGATTCAGAGTTCTAAGCTTGTTTTCAACAACTCAACAATCCTTTATTCCGTCGGCTACTACCCAACATGTACTCAACAAGAAAAATCCCTGACATGAAATTATCAATATAAGTATACACACAAACATATACATGTGTGTATGCATAGAAACAGAGAAGTAACATAGGCACTTTAGTCCCGTGGATACCTCATCAGACACTTCTTGACAGTAGCACATATTACCTAATGGACCTACTTCATGACATATTTTAATATAAAAATAAATATAAGGGATCAATGTTTTTGCCAAAACATTAAACAGGCCTGCTGCATGCAGGTGAAGGCAGAAATTCTGAGGCGAATGATAAATCCAAAGTTCAAGCTATGTCTAGGAAAACGTAAATTCCAAATCACTAGCAAAATTCTACAAATAGCAAGGTCCCTTACTGGAACTCAATGCAAAGTGCAAACTTCGATGGCTATAACAATTTGGATTCAAAAAATTATCATAAAGGAAAAAGGGAGAAGAAAAGAACAAAATGAGGAGCAATGATCATAGGCGAAATCCATACCCCTCCTGATTCTAGAACCTTGACGAGAAATGAAGAATCCTCCAAATGGAATTCTACTTTATGCACAAAATCATCTAAAGACGCTAGAAAATCCACAAAACAATAACAATCAAAATCTGCACAGATTTTAAGCCACTGAATCACTTGTGAATCCAGTTTACCGTAACCATGACAAACACATAATTTTCACAAATATCTTCCTCCTGGGATAAATATTTCATATTGCAACATGCATGCCACAGGAATCCTCTTTTTTACGGTAGTCTATGGAACAATGCAAATATGACTCTATGGAACAATGTGAAAAATAACCACAGGAACCCTCATTTTTCACCGCAGTCTCCTCCAAATTCTTTCCTTTATCGATGATCCCTCCCAACTTGAGTGGAGAGGACAAGCTAGTCGAATTCTCAATTGATTTTCTGTAATAGACTGCCAACTCACACAAATTGGCTCTTTGATTATCAAATCAATTGCATTCAGAATTATGTATTCAATTGTTTTAGCTGGTTATTGTACAGAATGAACAAGATACATAAACTAAAAAGGAACCACAATCAATATTAATTTGAAAAGTTAGTGTTTTAGAACATGCAACGATGAAAAGCCCATTCAGTTATTAATTTAAATTGGTAATCAGAGAATTCCAGTAATTGACTAACAATTCAAATTTGGTCACTGGACCTATTCAACACCCCACCCCCCGGGTGTCCCTCCTAGGTCTTATTTCACCTAACAACAGGTAACTTGAACGACTTTTCAATCATGATCAACTTAGGAATGTCGCTCACAAATTGAGAGGAAGGTTGATTCTCAAGGTTGTCACTTTTACATTGCAGACCATCGCAGCGGTTGGATGCTCAACAGTGACTTGAACGCCATGCACACAACAAATGATTTAAGTTAAACGTTTCACATGGCCAATTTTTCATGCCGTCTCATTGGTCACAATAAAAAGTATTTGCCTTAGTGTGAACAACCACAATGTAAGCAGCAAACAATGAAGTTTTGATTCAACACAAACTAAGTTAACAAGATACCACAAAATATTTCACGACACATGAAATGTAGATGTTTATAATCAGCCGTTGAAAAATTTATGTAGTGCAATTACAAAAAGAGACTCACCATTTGAGAACGTCAATTTTGCGTTTCAAGTGGCTACAAAATGGTAATTTCAATCAACTATACAATTCCGAAGGTATTGTGATTATTAGAAATCCAATCATCATGCTTGCTTCTACCAATGAAGGTGTTTCAAACCGGTGAAGGGTATTTTTGACTCCAATGTGCGACTCCCAAATGCTCTGAAAATGGAAATAACTACTCAATTGTCAACTTCAAATATAACCACAGCAGTTGTAATTAAATGATTAATGAGTATGTTAACACTAATGTTCACTCACATTATTCTAAAATAGTTCAGGAAGAGAAACGACTATTACCTGATGAGATTTACGACGTTATCTGTGCGAATATCCCAAGTGAGATCGAAGATCCACTGGCATTTGAAGTTGTGTGAATACAATCCACATGGTTTTGCTAAATCTGAATGCTGCTTACATTAATAATTGGAAGTGCTCAAAAGGATATCTAAAGAAATTTTATAATGAAGCAACAATTAATGACAATGAATTTGTGATGTATTCCTGTTCAAAAAAAAATTTGAGACTTATAGACACCAATATACAAAGAAGTTATATAACATTGATCGTTTTGATGTTGATAATCGATGGATCTCTCCCCACAAGCATACTTCCACTACAAGGTACAATGTACATATCAGTCTTGAGTGTTGCACCGACAAAGAGGTGACTAAAATGCCGGGAAAGCTTGCGCAAAGCGGATTCCAACAACTCGCCTAAATTCTGCTTACCCAAAACCTATTCCAACCTAACAATGGTGGGCAATGACGTTATAAAGGGCGGATGGGATCAGACAATATCTGGATTGTCAATATATCTCTTCCAACAAATTTTGTTGGTGAATATATGAGTTTGATTAGCAAAAGTATTAACCTTCAGTTGGTAAAAACAACACCATTTACTAGCTCATGGATCTTAAATTGGTTGCAAAGAAAGTGGATGAACATGCAACAGTATATATGCATTGATAGGCTAGCTTATGGACATCCATTCTAGATAACATTATTATCCGTGCATGTTACTTACAAAACTTCCAAGGTCAAAATGGGGTGAGGATATTATAATTGTGAATGGTTTGGTGCATGCAACTATTAAATCAGCATGCCTTGCACTTGGCTCACTTCATTGTGAAAGTGAATGGCATGAAGCACTTTTGAAGTTTCAACATAGGCCACATGTTCACTACTACAAAACAAGTTTTGCTCAATGTTCATTTTTTCAGAAGTTACGAGTCAAACTGAACTGTATGAAAGTTACTGAGCCGTTCTCAATAATGATTTGCAAATTAACTACGAAGACATCTTGGAGACAGTGGTATACATATTGAACAAAATGAATTGACAACTTTGGGGTTACTCAAGAGTGAACATATTGTCACCAGTGGAATTTTGCTACAGGGTTTGATTTCGGGCTAAGGTACCAACTTTGAAATTCCATTTAGTTCCGTTCAAGTGAACGAGGAAAAAAAAACTCTTGGAATCCCGCTGATTGTAATCAAAATGTGATGAATGCATCATTCCTTAATTAATCCCGCCATAAGTCAGATTAGGTACAAAATTAATTTGAAAACATGATATATCCTGGTGCCATTCCTATATCAACTTTTTAATGCAGAATTGACAGGGGATATGGATGCACAGTGACAAAACCACATTGACATGAAAAATGCTAAAAAATTAGGATAGGGCCATAGATAGGCCACAGTTCAAATAATAAAATCTTATAAATTCCATTCTGTAATTTTTTGTTTTACACATTTACTTGATGCCATGTAAATATTAAATTTATTGCTCTAACATGAATTTTTAGATTAAACGATCATAATAGTTAATGATCACCATTTTATATAGACAAAAGCAAGCATAAATAATAACGATAATTCTTCCCACCTTCACAAACCCTCTTCCTTAGTGAAGTAGTTTTGTATTCTTTTTTTCAAGTAAGATTTTGTAAAACTTTAATGTGATTCATCTTCCATGACATAAGATAGTAAGATGCCAAATTTTCAAACACTGATAACCCTATGATGTCAAGTGTTCAAGAATGTCGGGCACAAATTTTTTTGTAATGGGTCTGAAATAAAGGTCCCAAGTTTTAAACAGGTTGGTGTACCTGTCCAAGAGTGTCTGAGAATGGTTGGTGTACAATATGAACATGTCACCTTCTCAGAAGTATACATACTTTGAAGCTTCTAGCCACATGCGTGCACAATGAAAGGCCTAAAAAGACCTTTTCTTAAGTATTTAAAAAAAAAAAAAAAAGGCGGTCCATTTGATGAGACTCCCACCACTACAGGACTAGAAAGGGTCAAACATATACAGTCTTACCCTCACTACCAGACAGAGAGTTTATGCAACTCAAAACCGTTGATGCCCACGTCACAATGGGGCAATCTTTAATGCCTACCCTCTTTTTTAAGCACTTCAATTACTAATTACACCAAATCAAAACTAAGGGCTTTTTCTCTTGGAAAAATTATTTTAAAAAAATTCTACACTAGCACCCAGGCATATGAACTTAAAAACGTCTCATTAAAACACCAACCACATCAAACAAGTTGTACCACCCAATGCTTAAAAACTTAAAACACCAATTCAGTGTTGTAAGAACCCCAAAAAGAAGAGAACTCTATCAACCACCCTAATAACAATAATGAGGCAATCAGTCATAATAAAACAGCTTCTTTAAAAAACAAAGGGCCAAAGAGTTTGGGCACACGATATCAATGCAGAACAACATGCAACTGCAACAAATCCAAACCACCACCTCTTCCCCGTCACCCCCACCCCCAAAAAAAATCCAAAAAATAAAAAAACTAAAGGAAAACAAAACACGAGGAAACAGAAAGGAAGGATCAAGGAAACCAGCTACAAACCTGTGAGATGGATTGTTGCTAACTTCACAGATTGAAACACGATGGGATGACCTATGCATATAGAAAAAATTGAGAAGGTAAGAACAATATTAGTTATAATAAAAAAAAACAAGCAGGTACATACCTGGGTGGGTACTGCTAAACTCCTTAATTCAATGATCCACGGCACCTAAAGAGAAAAGTAGATAGTTATGTGATAATAGAACAATCGATAATACTGCAATTACAAACAGAAAAAAAATAGCTGAGAACCAGAAAGCAAAAGTCAGATTCAATTACCAATTTATTACTGGTGCATATAGATAGCCAAAAAAAAAATCACGCTTGAAAATGTATACAAGTCCACATTCGTTAAAAAATCATAAGACTCAATACCACCAGCATGGCAGCCAGAATGAGAAGATTATGATGGCACAGGCTTTAAAATACCTTAAGTAGTCCCAAAAAAAAAGAAATTAGACGAACCCTCATTTTGAGGTAAGGTGTGAAAGCCTTGGCTCTTAAGGTGCAAGCATAAAAGTCTCTTGAAATTCCTGGCTTAAAATTTTAGTTTATAAGCTTCCCATTACAAGCCAAGTAAATTTGAACAAGTTGTCAGATGGCCCAATCAACATTTGGTGCACCAAACTCATATTTGACACACATGACCTTTAGAGTTTCTTGATGCACTCAAAATCCACCTAGATTTTCATTTCATGTAACTAGGTCTATGAACTGAAAAGTCTAGCTGGAAAATTCTTGATCCAATCAGATAGAATATGAAAATCATAAACTTAACAATAGCGACTTAAAGCAAAGGTTTAACTTTTAAGTCTTTATCTTGGGATGGACAACCTATGCAACTATTTTTGAACATCATACACCAGACAAACCTCATAATGCACAGGAATCCAAAATGCATTTCAAAAACAAAAACTTGAAACAAAGCCCACAATCATTAGAGCCGTCAAATGCGCATCTATCTGTCACCAAAGAGCCTCCACTTTGATGCCATACTCGGGGCATAGAACTCAATTGGTTCTACAGATAGATCAGTTATTGCTTGGAGGTACAACAGAAGAAACAAGGTTGTAGACATGGACAGCCATAAAATTTCAATTGATATTACCATATAGAACTGCAATTGCAAGGTGGATAGACACAGACAGCCACAAAATTTTCAAGTCATATTACCTCCTAGAACCACAATTGCAAGGGATCTTTTTCTCCTCCAAAGGAAACTTGTAATTGTAAGTAATTTCTTCCCCAGCAGCAATGTGTCGTTTTGCATAGATGAAGATCTTCTTCTGACCCTCTACACTTATGACCTTGGTATAGCAATTAGGCTACAAGAAAGTTGAATTCAAATCACCCTATAGCTTTTCCTTCATATCAAAGAATTTGATAGTTACAGAATGCAGTTACCTCACACGAATGGTTTATGAATCTAGCAATCCCACCACGCTTTGTAGCATCAACCTGCACATGATCCCACAATATTATGCAACTGATATCATATTTTATTTTAGGATTTTTACTTTTATATGTTTAAGGGCTACTGGTAAAGTCTTAAACTTATCTGAGGCTAATTATGCACGAAAGTTACTACAATCTAGACCACATAGAGCGTGAGCGAGAGCGCGTAAAATTTTCATAAAAAATTTAGAGCAGGAGCGTCACTAAGAGCGTTGAATTTATATATATGACATTGTGATACATAAAAGAAAAGAGAATATCAAAGTGTCAAATTCTACCTCCATCCCACATAGGTAACTTAGTGATAAACAGGATATCACATTGATCCCACATCGGTAACTTAGCTGGAAGAGCAATGGGAACACAATGATAAATTCTACCTCTGATCCTCCATCCCACATTAGTAGTGTAGGGAAAAGTTGAAGGGGAGATAGCTATTACAGGTGTTCCCCTTTTAGTGTAGTAGTTGGGCCTCATCTTGGGGCTTAGGGCTTGAAATAATGAAAACTTTTGCTTGGGCTAAAGGCCAACTTAATAATCAGTTTAAAATTTTTTGAAATTGTGGATTGGATCCAGAAAATTGTCCAATTCGCGGATTGTAAAAATGGATTCGCGAATTTAATTTTTTGAATCTGTGAATTTATGTTGAATCCACTCTGAATTCGCGATCCGAGCGCAAATTCATTGAGGTATGTGGACGAATTGTGTGATCTATAGTACAACAGCAAGTGTGTAAGATTGCACCAAAGCACCCTCATGGATCTAGATGCCAAAGGCATATCACGTAGCTTAATGGAATAAGTGAGCCAGACGCTTCAGCCTAAATCTTGCCAACTCTAATGAAAAAAGTTATTTCATGTTACAAATGTTCAGTGAGAGTTGAGGAAGTTACAAGCAACCAATAGCAAAGGGCTACAGCATATGTATAAGATTGGATTGGGTGCAAAATGATGACTTCATATAAGTAGGAATACAAAAGATTTTGGGTGTGTTTGGCGGTGCTCTCAAATGGGCTTCTGAGTATTAGAAATCAGTTAAGAAAAATCTCATCCATTTGGTGAGAGATTAGAAAGGAGCTTTTAGTTTAGACTTTTAGTCCATCTTCTAATGCCCATTCCAAATAAGTAATCTTTCTTGGCTTTTCAAAACAGGCTGAAAATGACTTCTTGCGAAATCTGATTCCATTTAAGTGAATAAAATAAAGTTCCAATACTATCCATATTTAACTGAGATTAATGTCCATTTTTCCTCACAAGTTCTCTAGCACCGTCGTGTTTCTCAACACCACCACACAGTCATCTACCTCATTCCAATACAACTCGTACGCCAACTACAAAGCTTCTAAATCGCAACTGCAATTTACCTCTCACCACAATTTTGACAACGACAACATCGCCTTAGAAAAATTGATCACTCGCGATATATATATATATATATATAGACACACCCACACACTCCCTCTCTCTCTCTCTCCTGTGTAAAGATTCATTGGCCATGGAATTTGGGACAAGCTTGGGATGAGACTAGTTGAGAATGTATCAATAATGAACCGGGAGAGCTGAAGGAGAAGAGGGTCCCTGAATTTGGTCATTTCAGATTGTTTAGTTCAAAAATAAGTACATAGCTATCATAATGCCAAAAGTTTGCTAATGTCTCAACCATCTAAATGGTTTCCTCTGGTAAATGGTGAGTAGATGAGAGAGAGAGAGAAGGGATTGCATTTTTTTAGTGATTTTAGGGGTACCAAGGTGGAATTAATGTTTTAAAATTTTTATCTTATACTAGTCTTTATTAGAATCCATGCAATATTCATTTCATGACATTCTTGTATAGTTTTTTTTTCAACTCCACCATATAGAATAGATCCAAAAAAAAATATCATGTAATTTGGATAACAATAAAGAATTTTTTAATTAATTTAATTTTTTATTAATATAATTCAACATATTAAGGTACTTTTATTGGATGTTCGTAAAATGTTGTTTGTTTATTTTGAATATTTATTAGCATATGTCATTTATGTTAGTTTTAATATAAAAATACATATATAATAAAATAGCTTGGTGTTTAAAATTTTATTTCATACATATTTTATCTCCCAAAACCATCACATCACCTATTTTTATCACATATTTAATCATTTAATATTTGATTAATTTGTAATTTAACATAATTTTTATTTCAGACATTATCCATTTACGATAGTATACACATGTTGAGAAAATTTGTTGGATTACGTATTTTTGTTGATATTTTAAAAAAAATAATGAGTAAAAATAAATTTTAAATGATGTAATTAAATAAATGAGGGAAAAAAAATTATTATTTAATATAGTAGGATCGATTTTTTGGACATTCGAATTTTATATTTCATCGTGTTTTCAGGCATGGGTTATGACTAATATAATGATAAGGTGAAGGGTAATAGTGTTACATAGATGTTGTTTTGCACTCTTGGCACTTTGCCACCTAACATACTTGTGAAACATGAATTCACTTCTTAATTGAAAAGTAATTCTAAAACTTAAGTTCACCAAACATCTAATTGTTTTAAAAATTCCATTTTGAAAAGTGTGTTTCATAAAGTCAATCTTCTAGTTTTCAGAAGTTACGTCAAACACAACCTATGAGTCTATGGCCTTTTCCCCCTTGGTTTCTCTCTGTTTGGTTGTGCGTCTGTCTGTTTTCGAAAGGTGGTAGAGAAGGGTGTTTAAAACTAGAATTCAGGTGAATCCATAAGTCCCTTGCTCCATGTTCGAAATAGCCTCAAAAACAATTGGAAAGATAACTTAGGCTAACACAAAAGCTGTACCACGTCATCTATTCTACTTACCACATAACCATCATCCAGTCTAAAAAGATAGCTGCTGCCAATTCCCATCTTCTCATACTGGCGTTCACGTATATCGGAAATCTGAGAAAGCCAAATGAACAAGTCAATAGAATCAAAAAGGCAATGAAATAAAAGGGAATATATATTAAAGAAACAAAAAAAAGAAGCTAAAATAACATACTATTTATTTATAGAGGGAGCGAGAGAGAGAGATGATGCCCAAAAAAGAAAGATATTGAACAGAAAAAGGTAACAACAAAGGAAAAAGAGTAAACACAAAGATGTAAGCATGTAACAACCACCATGCAGTACAACTAACAAAATGCAGCTAGCAAAGAAAAAGGTTACGGCAAGCTTACTCGAGGACGGATTAATTCTCCCACATATTCAATGACAAAATCTTCCGCCTCAATTGACTCCAGCGCAACAATACCCCAGTCATGTATCTTGCTTCGTTGAAAACGTAGGCGCTTTTTTCTTGCCTGGAAAAAAAGATAAATATTTAATACTAACTACGCATCTAAGATACACCAAAGCAATGCCATCCTTCTATCACCTTCAACTGAGTCGCTTTTAAAAGATCAGCACCCTCTGCAGCAGCAAGAAGGTTGCGCAACTTAACCCTGTTTGTTCTTGCAGAAAGGCCCTTAATATTTGAAAACTGGTATCCATTAACCTCTGATCCGATGTATTGAGCAGGAACACAACAGGTTCCCCTAATTCTAGCTCTTTCAGCAGGGCTTGCACTTAGAGACCATTTATGCCATTCCCACCCATTGATAGAAGATCGGGCACATCCATCAGCTCGGGGGCAGGGTTTAGATGCTCTTGATTTATTGGTCTTGATCTTCCGCGCTTCAACTTGTTTACATGCCGCTTGCTTGACAGCACCATTTGCTAGTTTCAGGACTTTTCTAGAACGTGATGGTGGCATATCATCCAGTGAATACTTCCTCTTCTGTTTCAATGACTTGGTTGCTGTTTACAAGAATAGCCAATCCATGGGAATAGTGGAAGTTAAGAATAAGATTAATACTGGAGATCAAATAATCAAGGGACTAGTATAAAAGTGCAGAAAGTGGAAATTAGCAAATCAAACAGAAAAAATAAAAAATTGACTGACGATTTGGTATCTTTTTGGAGCGATCACCAGCATGCACTTCCTGAATTACGTCATCAGTGCCCTTGCCACTAGTGATACCCTCAACTTTACTAGAATTCTCTGTGAAAACTGAGACATTCTTTGTGCTACATCTTGAAACATCTCCGCTGAGCGCATTATCTAAGAAGAACATTTATGACTACCATTACTGAGATGTTTGATACTATCTCCTAAAACAGCAGGATAAAAAACTTGAGAAAAATGAAATACCTTGAACTACATGAGCAACCTTCATTAATTTCTGACAAGTATCAGTAAGAGATGGAAAAGGAGCTTCATGCAAATTAGCATCAAAAGATGATCCAGTCTGGCAATTATCTAGCACACTTTTTTTAATATTCACAACCGCAGTTTCAAGTTCTGCAATCTTAGACACATCTGCAGAAATATCCTGTTTCCTTGACTTCTCAACAGATTGCTTCTGTAATCCAATGTCTCCAGATTTACCAGAGTGCGAAAAAGAGACCAACTTTCTCCTCCCCAATTTCTTCTTGCGATAATATGTATATTTCCCAGTCACCAAGGATCCCTCAGACTGTCCTGAACTATGACCCTTTCTTGATCTTTCCTTAAGTTTGTCAAATGCAACAAGAGAATGATCAAGTTTCTCGACATTTTTCATAGTTACTCCCCCCTGTAAAAAGAAGAGTATGAGGTTCAACTAAAGATTGTGTAAATACCCCCCCTCCCCACCCCGAGCCCAAAAAAAACACAAAAAAAGAAACAAACAAATAGAAAGGAAAACAAAACCACCTCATGAGCATCAGAGCTAAAGCATTCCTTTGAAGAACACCATGAAATTAGAAAACCTTGAAAAGCATCATCAACAAACAAAGATTTCAACTCTCTGAGCACATCATTGTGTAACTTCTGTCGGCACATCGCTGATGCAGCATAAACCCCTACCTTTGGAATAAACTCCTCTGACCTGGAGGGTATAAAGTTACAAACATCTGAAAGAACAAGGGGTCTAGAGTTGTCCTCAAATCCAGGTGGAAGCAGTTCATCAACATCTTGATCACTAACCACATCATTTAAGTGCGTACAAAATTTCTGAAATGCCCTTGAGAAATAATTAGACGTAGATTTCTCATATGCAAAAGCAGTAGCCTGACAAAATGGTTTTGCTGCTGGAGATGGCGCCCAGAAATCATCTGATGATATCATCGTTGGACCAGGCAAAGTATCAGGTACGCAACATCCGTTCAAGTCACTGTTCTGAATAGAGGAATTACTGGCAATCTGCAGATATAAAAATTATTTATATTGTAATGACATAAAGAAACAATTAAAAAATATTTACATCACCAGAAAAATTATCTTGAAGAAAGAGGGAGTCGATAACTGACAGATAGGATCTGGGTCCAAAGGAAAAGATTGAGCGCAATTTGATTCATAAAAAACCATAACTTCTTAAGCTTACCTCATTCGCCTGGCCATCTTCTAGCGAATCAACTAATTGCCTAACCTCTTCATCCACAAAGCTTTCAAAATACAGAACCAAAGACACCCTCGTAGAAAATTGGAGCTCATTCTCCACACTTTCCAGGATGTGTTCGAAGTGATCATAAGTTTGATCAGTGTTTAACGGGTTCCTTTGTACCGAATTTTCTGCCTCAAGCATAGATGAAGAAACCAAAGATGACTGAGGAAAGAACTCTGGCGATATTCTCACCACTTCAAAACCAGGGGGGCAATCAGCCTCACAAACAGAAGGTTCTTGTTCTGAACAAAGCTGTATATCCATTTAAACACACCTTACACAAAATATATACAGCAAGGCAGCACAATAAAACATAGAGAATGCCAACAACTTACTACTTTGGGACGTAGCTTTTCAATCTTCCCAAGGTATCCCTTGAACTGCATGCTCTGTTCAATGGTAGCCTCAAGACCAGACCAACGTTTCCTCTTTCTCCAAGCAGAAGAATACCCAACTACAGGATCATAAAAGACAGCATTCCACAGTACTTGCATGCAGGAATCAAAAACCATTCTGCAAACCACTATATATGAACCCCAAAATTTCTCAAAGCTTCCAACAGATTTCATCCTTGCTGGAGACTTCGTAGGACTTCCATTAGTAGGAGATTTCCGGTCAGAAACATTACTACATACCGCTGCTTCACTCCCACAAGCAACATAGTCCTTCCTGTCACAACCTGTTTCAGACTGTGCACACAAGACACAAAAGAAAGAGATGTTAGGCAATAACAAAGAAGGCATAAGTCTTTTCTCTAACACTAGCAGACATTACCGTTCTGTCATTTAAAGAGAAAGTTTTGACAGTCTGATTGACCGCTTCAAACTTAACGTGTTTTTGAGCTTTCTTTGTGGCAACATACTCTGTGATTATGTGGCTAATAACCTCATCTAGCACAACTCTGCGAGCCGCTTTCATGATTCCATAGTAGAGTTGGGAGCAAACTTCTTCTGAAATTTCAGATATGAAGTTTGATAAAGAGCCAGACTCGTTGCCTTTAGCATCAGATAGATGAATAGGTCCAGTTCCCGCTGCTCGCCAAGCATTTATTACTGATTGCAAAATAAAGGGCTTAATCTTATTATCAGCATGATATATCTGCACAATATCATCATCAGCAGAGTAAGAGAAAGCATTACAAAACAAAAGCATATGTTATTATTATTGCTCATTTGGGAACAAAGCATATGTTATATCAAAAGAAGTTTTCTGAGTTTTACAAAACAAAAGGGACATACACATCAAAAAATGACCTTTTTTTATCAAATTAGAAAGATTTAAGCCACACTGACCATCCTTTGAACAGTTGCAATCTCTAAATAATTGAACAGACGACAAAATATAAATTTTGCTTGCAAAATTCCAAATATTGATGTAATCAACACACATCTGCACGGGATTCCTAATGTCATATTACACTTTTCATAACTAAAGTGGCATCTAACCATAATTTATTTAAAAAGAAGTCGTGTTCTACAATGTTCATGTCTATGTAAAGAAAATAGCAATGTGCAATCATACTGATACCCAATACATTCGATTTAGGGCAGGTCTGCCTGGCCCAGGTATCCCTTCAACTTCTCATCTTGCTAAAAGCTGAATACTCGAACGCCTAGATTACTATGCACCCCTTTCTTTTCTTTTCTTTTTTCTTTTTTCCCTCTTTCTATCTCTCCCCTCCCTCTTTTCTGGGGGTCACTCCAGCACAGTGGTGGAGCCACTCATAGTCCGGGGGGGCAATCTGCCATTGGCATTACCTCTTGTATTTTTTCACTCAGTAACTGGTATGATATTTTCACTCAGTGTCCCCATTATTGAGTTAATATTTCCCGTCATCCTAGCATGTGAATGTCTTGTTATCAAGTACAACAATTTTTAGTAATTGTCATTCAAAATTTAACTTCAGCCATTTCTTATCTGCTTATGTTGTATTAAGTCACAAAAGCACATAAGCCATAGGTTGAATCTGAGTGATCAGTGATCACTCAAATTGGTCTTACTTGTTAGATTTGGGGATCATTTTTGTCTACCGATGTTGTCAAAAAAAAAATACTTTCCAATAAAATAGAGGACGATTTACTGGTGAACTCATAGATGAAGTATATTTAAAAACAAAAAATCAAAAAGGTTATTTTCTGGACATGAAATAAAATTGAACTTCATGAACCTCATTTGGATAGGCGATTGAGTTTGATGCACCAAAACACAAGTGCTATGTTTTTCCTTTTATTTTATATCATGTTCAAACTTATAATTGCTTATATTAATTGGTGACATTTCTTTATCCATATTTTTGTCCAACCTAAATGAAAATCCTAGCTCCGCCCATGCTCCAGCACATCCAAAACCCCTTTTGAGTTAATACAAATCACCAAAAAACATGCATATTTAATTATAGGAATTTTCAACAGGAAATAACTTTAAGGTACATATAGAATCTTCTAGGGTAGATAAAATAGGACCAATTGTGCATGCTTGATTGGACATGAAAACAGCTTTTGGACACCCAAAGAGATGTAATGACATCAAACCACAACTTCTCGGGGGAGAGGGTTTACCTTTCGTATAAAATTAGAATACCAAAATACTAGTGACACATTCAACCATGGGCCAACCGGACAAAATTACAGTGAGAATGAGGTAGACAAAACCAAACTACACATATAGTCATTTAAATCGTATGGCTTACCAATACAGAATCACAAAGATAACCACAGTGACACCAAGAGGAAAGTTCTAGAAGAGAATGAGGCCCATGTTTCCTCCCCTCATCATCCTCAAATAGCCAACAGGGTTCATCACCCATCTGCGTACGCAAAGAGAATGGAGCCAGCAGAGAGAAGAAAAGTTTATTAAATGAAGATCACATTAATATTTAATTTTATTGGACTTTTTTCATGTGGTTGAACAAGATATAACCTTTACTTGAACAAAAAAAAGGAAATAAAAAAAAAATTAGCAAAACGCAGTATACCGGTGGCAGATATGTTGCAGTCGAGCTACCTACTTCAGAGTTAGCCATCTGCTGGTTGGCGCTAAAACTTTGGTAGTTGGAGCATGATTGGAATGCCAGCTGTGAGTTAGACTGAGCAATATCGGTAGCAAACTCTTGCCTATTTGTAGTCAACTCCCTACCAGAACTTGTAAAACAATTGACAGGCCCCTTTATGCCAGAGACAGCTGCCGTAAAATATGCAAAGCCCGTAGCAACATGATCTGGAAACTGCTTAAAGTACTTCAATGGCACAGGGTTGATTAGAGTCCCGTTCAAGATGGGATACACAGGAAGCTCGTCTGGAAGGAAACCAGTAGATAAGCCCTCATACAACTGCTCCTGAATGTATGGGCCACACATTTGCCCATCTTGATTGACATACATCCATCCACCAACAAATGCGGGCACAGCATACCCAGTATAACCCTTATCACTGCATGAACTCCCACCAACTTCGGAAGGTTGGGATATATGGCCATTGTCGCCATTTGACTGACAACCCACCTCTGCCACAAATTGTGAACCAAATGGTTTGTGACAATTGCAGCAAGATGAAGAAACAGGAGCATTATTCAAGCAACTGAAGAGGAGTTGCCAAAAAACAAAAGGAAAAGCATAAATGGTTAAATAAAATAGAAGTATAAACCAAAAGAAAACAAGAAAAAAAAAATAGAAGAATGAATACATCAGAAAATGATACAATACCCATGGCTCAGCTCCAAGGAAGAGGCACTGTCGTCGTGATTGTCTGAGCAATTATGCGACGCTAAATAACTGCGTGCAGAACTTAATACCTTGAGCCTCTTTCTAGAGAAGAAAAGAGGGTCATATTCATGGACCTGGGTTGCCGAATCTAAGAAGTCCACTTCGCTGTGGCAAAGAGTTAATGAGACCATGATTGGAAAAAGCTCCACGACAGCAACCTGGATACAGATAAGGAGAGGGGAAAAAAGTAAGGCAACATGCATTAGTTTGGGAATAAGTAGCTCAATGAAGGTTCTTGTGTCCCGTAAGCGAGTAGGTGCGCCAGAGAAAGAATGTGATAATTCCGCATCGACCCCCAAAGGAAGTCGTAAGTAAATCCAGATTGAGATCCGGTTGGTTGACAATGAGAATTTAAACCAGAATCTCGAACTAGTATCAAAAATCCGATTGGACGGACGGACGAATGAATTAGGCAACAGATTCAGAATTCTAAATTCCAATTAAAATAGATTGAATCCCTTAAAGGCATATAATTGAATCCTCCCACTGGATTATAATGAAATTCAACATGAACATTCAACAGTCAGACAAATCATAACACGAGAGATATAAAAAGAGAAAGAAAGGAAGAGATACCGACCTCGATTAAAAAACAAAGAAGATGACGAACGATAATGGTGAATCGTTAGTGGACAGTGGTCTGGTCGCCCAAAGCAATATCGGAAGTCAGGAAGAGTTGCCGTCGGATTAAAAGATAGTTTCCCAGTTGGAACCCTCGAAATAAAAGAAGGAAAGCCAAGGCGTGACGCGTTAGTGAGGCTTCTTCTTCTTCTTCCTATCGGTATCGGGGTTCCGCCTTATGACAATTTGGAGTTGTACTATTTTCCTTTTCCTTTTTCTTTTTCTGCCCCAAAATTTTGCTTGAAGAAATTTTATTAAGGGCACCGACTACCGAGAACAAGCATGTCTGTGTATATGTATATGTATATACCTATTGGGCTAAGCCTCCAGCTGCCCTTCCCTTACCATGGGCCTTGTTTCCGGAGCACGCTTTCCTGCCAAGGATTGTGTTTCCAACTGATAAGCACAATCTTAGTCAGTCCAAACACCCGCCTTTCGTGTGCGAATTTTTTTTGCATTCACGTTTTCATTCCATTTAATGGCCTATTTAAGTTTTAAATTTTTATTTTTGACTAATTCACACTCTAATTTTCTTTTATATTTACTTATTATTATTTTTTTTATATTTTTTGAATATATCAATTCATGCTTAGAGATACATATTAAATTATGAGCAATGTTACATGGACTTAAAAACTAGATTTTATAATCTCAACCATTGATTTCACTATGGGTTCCAGAATTTATTATGACCCACTACTTATTCAATAGTTGAGATTATCAAGTCTAATTTTTAAATTCATGTGACATTACTCTTAAATTATAATGATATTTATAGTTTCTGTTTTATGACCATAGAATCAACATGTATTTAAAAATTAAAAAGATTCTTATAGAATTGTGCATGAAATTTAATTTTTTACATGTTATTTGTGTTAACTTTTAAGAGTGAATTGGTGATGGTATTTCTTACTCTTAATTTTTTAAAATTTTTTGCCCTTTTACACTCTTATTCTTACTCCCACCCTCGATCCTGTAGTATGTGATCACAACTATGAACACTTTCTTAGACAATTTTTAATGAAAAATCAAACTCTTATACAAATTTAAGTAAAAAAAATTGATAAAAAATTTGATTTGGTATAAACTTTTCTAGTGGAGAAACTCAAAATTAAATAAAGATAAACCTAAATTTAAATAAAAATAAATTCAAATTTAAAAGAGGGTAATATATGACAATTGAATCTTTAAAAGGATGGTGAAATCTCACCACTAAATATTGACTAATGCTATTTGGATCTAAAAATTGGATCTAATTTACTAACATAATGATGTGACTTCATTGAAACCATTTGATCAACATCAAATTTCAATGTTTGATAGACCCCACAGTTAATTCAAAGGTCATAGTGAATTAAGTCAGTAAATTAGCTCACAATAGCATTGTTTTTAAATTTTTGGGTATAAATTTGAGTCTCTATTGATTTGAGTAAAAAAATGAGTCTCCTTTTATTTGATATAAGTATGAGTCTAGTATTGAAAAAAAAATTTAAAATTTTTTTACCCAAATTTAAATTTGAGTTTAAAAAAGATTAAAGAGTAAAGATGATCTTACCTAGACAAAAATAGAGTAATGTTATTAGGCCATAAAAAATTGACTTAATTTATTAACCTAATGATGACAATGACATAGTCCAATAATGTTGTAATAACATTATTGTGACTTATAGTTTTTGGATATCTTATTAGGACGCCATCATTTAACACATAATTACGTCAATAAATTAAATTAATTTTTTAGATTTTAATAATATTATTTAAAAAAAAAACTGGTAAGAGCCAGGTTTCTTCCTTGAGGGAGGTTTTTTTTTATAAAAATTATACATTTGGGTCAGTCGCCGTAGATACATGTGTAAAATGATCTGGGTTAAATTCGGACGGCCCATTTGTACACGGGTCTATCTTGCGCTCAACATGCAATTGCTATCTAGTACTGGTGCACGCCACGGTGCCCGCCTTTTTGTCCGGGTTGTGCCATGCCCAAGGAAGGTTGAATCCTGTCCAACAACCTTGTGACTTTTTGTTTGTTTGTCTGCTTTTCTTTTCTTTTTTTTTTTTTTTCATGTTGTTGTTTTCATGAAATTTTAAATACACAATAGATGATCAAGGTTAATACATCTGATGAATATAGATTATACAGTACAAATGAGTATGAAAAATACATTTTTCACTGTCATTTTTCCAATTTTGATCACCGAGTCTTGTGTCTTTCTAACTTTTCATGCACATATTTTCAAAAATATATTTCCATTACATTACATCGCAAATGTCTAGAAAAATATTAGAGATATTGAGTAATTGATTAAGAACTACACAAGAAGTAAAATAGTAAACACCCAAAGAAATATTTGTAGTGTTATAGAAAACTTCAGAACTTTGAATAAAGTAAAAACCAAGTCTCTACTAATTGTAAATAAATAAGATTGCCATATTTTATCATTAATTAAATCAATTATCATGAAATGATAATTTACACAAAATTGTAGCAAAAGAAAATATAGTTCCAAGGAGTAGGTTTTAAACCATATATTATTGTTGTCTAGATGAAGTAATCAAAACAATTGCATCCCTCATTTTTTTCACGCCAATTAGGGGCAGAGTTAAAAAAGTCATCTATCTCGTACATTTTCACATTAACTAAGGTCAAATAAAATCTTACCTCTCATATTTAGGGATGTTCATGAGTTGGGTCACGCTAGGCCAACGAAATTTTTTTCGAACTAGATTTGAGTAGGATAGGCTCAAGTCTTTACCCAGATGAGTTATCACTTGGGCTTCAGGTAGGGGTAGACTACCTACAGCTCAACCCGTTACTCATTGGGCGGGCTTTTTGTTGGATTGTTGGGCAGACTTTTTTTTAATATATATACAACTTAATATTTTTGTAAATTATTTTTTTCAATTAAAAGTAGAGTCAACATGTATAACAGTAAATAATAAATAGGAAACAACAACTGGTCAAAAAAAATCAGTAACAGCACGAGGTAGAGTCGGTATTTTTTTTCTAAAAAAAACACATATATTGAGCATGGTGCATTGGGGACCTCAATTTTTTTTTTTAAGGCATATTATTGTCACCAAACTTTCAATTTTGAATGGTGGACGGGCCGGGGTAAGTGAGCGAGTTCTTTTTGGTGGCATGGGTAGNTTTTTTTTTTTTTCATGTTGTTGTTTTCATGAAATTTTAAATACACAATAGATGATCAAGGTTAATACATCTGATGAATATAGATTATACAGTACAAATGAGTATGAAAAATACATTTTTCACTGTCATTTTTCCAATTTTGATCACCGAGTCTTGTGTCTTTCTAACTTTTCATGCACATATTTTCAAAAATATATTTCCATTACATTACATCGCAAATGTCTAGAAAAATATTAGAGATATTGAGTAATTGATTAAGAACTACACAAGAAGTAAAATAGTAAACACCCAAAGAAATATTTGTAGTGTTATAGAAAACTTCAGAACTTTGAATAAAGTAAAAACCAAGTCTCTACTAATTGTAAATAAATAAGATTGCCATATTTTATCATTAATTAAATCAATTATCATGAAATGATAATTTACACAAAATTGTAGCAAAAGAAAATATAGTTCCAAGGAGTAGGTTTTAAACCATATATTATTGTTGTCTAGATGAAGTAATCAAAACAATTGCATCCCTCATTTTTTTCACGCCAATTAGGGGCAGAGTTAAAAAAGTCATCTATCTCGTACATTTTCACATTAACTAAGGTCAAATAAAATCTTACCTCTCATATTTAGGGATGTTCATGAGTTGGGTCACGCTAGGCCAACGAAATTTTTTTCGAACTAGATTTGAGTAGGATAGGCTCAAGTCTTTACCCAGATGAGTTATCACTTGGGCTTCAGGTAGGGGTAGACTACCTACAGCTCAACCCGTTACTCATTGGGCGGGCTTTTTGTTGGATTGTTGGGCAGACTTTTTTTTAATATATATACAACTTAATATTTTTGTAAATTATTTTTTTCAATTAAAAGTAGAGTCAACATGTATAACAGTAAATAATAAATAGGAAACAACAACTGGTCAAAAAAAATCAGTAACAGCACGAGGTAGAGTCGGTATTTTTTTTCTAAAAAAAACACATATATTGAGCATGGTGCATTGGGGACCTCAATTTTTTTTTTTAAGGCATATTATTGTCACCAAACTTTCAATTTTGAATGGTGGACGGGCCGGGGTAAGTGAGCGAGTTCTTTTTGGTGGCATGGGTAGGATTTTTGGGTATGGTAATGTGTTTGAAGGTAAGTCCAAGCTCTCTCTTGAAGGATATTAAATTGTGAAAATTGAGGTTGGGTCCTCCTCAAAGGACTTATAATGAGTTTAGTTTATTAACGAATCTTATTTGGGAGTAAGTCCGTTTTTAATCTTATTAATAAGTAGTTAAGTCTACTATTTTTTTAAAACTCAAGCATACCCTTACCCATGTGTATGCATTCAGTTATGGAAGCACTGATGACGTCAACAAGAAGTCAGAGATGGAAGATGTGTTTGCTTGATTTACGCTAGTAATTGTCTGTCACAATCTTTTCATAATATTTGAAATTCAAATTCTCATTCATTATTCGTGTGTTACACATTGATCAAATTGAAAATCAAAGTCCACCACCATGACCAAAAAAACTCGAAAAACTGTCTATGAAGCACCAGCAAAAACTAAGGAAGTGATGGTTGTTTTCAATGTACCAGAGGCGGGGAAACCCTTTACCACCAGGACAGAGAAAATAAAGCATTGAATGAACTTAAAAAGAGCTAGTTCAGGAGCAAGTTCCTACGATACCATTTGAGGTCAACATCTCCACGATGCCCCAACGGACTGTTTGGGAAGCGAATTTGGGGTTTGACAAAATGAGTTTAGAAAATTAGTTGAAAATTTTCTCAAAACTCATGTTTGTTTAAAAAATTCAGTCTCGAGTTTTTGAACCCTGCTCGTAGATGGCTCGAAGATTAAACATATGATCATGACTTTCGTCAAACTTATGGGGAGGGGTGGGTTTGAAAAGATGAGTATGAATTAGATTATCAAGGGTAAAATAGTCATTTATATGATAAATAATTTGTTAATAATTATGAGATATCCGTAGGTCCTACATGTATATATGTTGCATACCAAATATGAGTATGAATCGGATTGAATATTAAATCTCATATTTGCAAAGAGAGATTTGAGTTTGAAAGAGTTTGGAGAAGTCAATCCAAATCTCTCTCCAAAATTCATCCAAACAAATGGCAAAGGTGTTCGACGAATTGCACTAAAGTATGTTACTATTTTTTCAATTCTTGCAATACCATGTTACTATTTTTTTTTTTGCGTGT